ATTACTTATAAGCCCATTTCTGTGTGTGTTTGTTCTCCTTTCGTGTTTGTTGTAAGCAATCAAAGCCCTGCATCTTGTTCTAATGAGACATGCTTTTATGCTCAATGTTGGACTGCTAGTAATTATAGCTATGCAATAGTTACCCACATGCCCCATTGGGTACCCTTACCTGTTGATGCTCCCAATGCCATGACTCTCTTTAGACACAGGAGAGATTTTGGGATTACTGCAGCTATAGTGACAGCTGTCTCCTTGGCTGTGGTGGGTGCCACCACTGCTGCCATAGCCATGACCCAAAATATCCAGACAGCCCATACTCTAAATAATCTGTCTACCACTGTGGCGCAAGCCCTTGACACACAAAGTGGCATTAATGGTCACCTAAAAGGAGGACTAATGGTAGTTAATCAGAGGATTGATTTAGTCCAAGAACAAATTGATGTTCTGTGGCAACTTGCCCAGCTTGGTTGTGAGTGGAAATTCTCAGGGCTGTGTGTAACCAGCATACAATACCAAAATTTTACCCATGCAGCGAATTTGTCTAAGCACCTGTCCAGTTATCTTTTAGGTAATTGGTCTGGAGAATTTGACGGCCTCATGAATAAACTAAGGGTCGCCATCGTGAAGGTGAACTCAACACGAATAGACGTTGGGCTGGCAGAAGGATTGGCCTCCTGGATGTCCGCCGCCATGAACCACCTAAAAGAGTGGGCGGACATGGGAGCTCTAGCTGGTCTGATGGTGCTGATATCTGTGGTTTGCCTCTGGTGTATTTGTCACATTAGGTCTCGCCAGCATCACCACGTTGCCATGCTGGTCCAAGCATTTGCGGCCATGGAAATGGGACAGTCCCCTGGTATATGGCTGGCCACCCTACACAAATAGTTAGAGCACAGGATGCGAGGCAAAGCACTGCACTTGGAGACCGGAGTGGCTAACCTGGAATCCATGGAGAGCATGCCTGATTGCATGTGGGTAGATGCCACTTCTCCCACCCCTGTGCAAAGGGCATCGGGCGCTGCTGACGCTCCTTGGGTGTAAAAGCCTGGGTAAGCATCAGCATAACCTCTAGCACAACGGGGATCGGGCCTCTGTTCTCGCCTGTTGCTAAAACAAAAAGGGGGAACTGTAGGGAGCTGTGTGTAGCCGCGCCCTAGGATGGCGCTGGTTTCCGCCTTCCACCCCCTCAGGGGGTGAGCGCTCCTGGTAATCAACAACTCCATAAAAGGCCAAGGCTTGGGCTAATGCATTGCTTCCGCGTACCTGGACCAATGGACGGTACACATGTGGCGCCCCATGGTTGGAAGCCCTGAGACATAAGCTAAGAGCAGGGGCCTCGAGGGGGAAGAAGGCTGATGTAACAGGGCAATAAAAGCTGCGCAGACACAACCAGTGGTCGCGTCTTCCTTGCTGGCAACGCCGCGTGCAACACAGGGAGATAGCTCAGCAGTCTAAACACCTGCCTGGCAAGTGCAAGGTATCAGGTTTGATCCCTGCTACCACATCCTGTGCCAGCCCTGAGCCAAGCTGGCCACTGAAATCAAGCATGGTGGCACACCCCTCTAATCCCACCACTGGGGAGGCTGAAACAGGAAGATCACTACAAGTCCCAGTTGTGTAGCAAGACCCTGTACTGAGTAAATAAACAAACAAATAAATAAATAAATACCATAGGATGGAAACAAAGGGGGTAGTGCAATGCAGCACAAGAAGTGGCAGCTGCATTGTCAAATGGAGACTTGAGTCTATTTCTGGCATCTATTAGTGGAGTGAACTTGGGTGAGTCATTTAATATTTCTGAACTTTGCTTTATCTGTCGTAAAATAAAATTTAACAGTGTAAGTTATTTTTAGGATTTAAGATTATAATTCTGTGACCTATTCCCCTAGGAATAATGGTTCAATAGGTGCTAATTCATTGTGGAAACTTCATAGAAGATAAGTAATGTGAATAAGAAGAATGCATTACACATGTATTCATTAATATTTTTATTTTTACAAAGCTAAATGGTCATGACATTTTTTCCACTTTGTAGTTAAATACATTAACACAGTATTATACCCCAAAGGTTACTCCATATTAGTATATTTCTCACTCTCCCCAGATAATACTTTCTGTGTATAACATACTTTATTCAGGAAAAGCTCACTGGCTGTTTGCTGTTTTGAGTATTAAACAAATCTTACATTTTGATTGTTTTCCTGACAAATCTTTGGAATATATTCCTCAAGCAGTACTCTGAATCACAAAGTAAAAGTTATGTAGTGTTGTGGTTTTGGAGCTATGCCATAATTCTTTGATGATCATTCCTGTTATGATTTGTGTCTAGTTGCCACCTCAAAACCTCGGGCAGTCGCGGGACAGTGTTCTAGAGATTGTGATTAATTCTTGATCCAATTCTGGGATTATGGCTGTGAGTGCTACACTTGCCCTGGGACAGATAATTTGCACACAAATGTAAGGACAGCTATTCTGTTAGCTGCCTTGCTAGCTGCCCCAGCTGCTCCTCCTCCCTTTGCTCTTTGCTGTTTTCTGCAGCAATGAGCTGCTGCCCTCTTCCATGTGCCTCTCTGCCTTGGAGCCAGCCAAGTATGGACTGAAACCTCCACTAACTGTGAGCTAAATAAACCTTTCCTTCCTTAATTTTGGGTGTAAGGATTTGTCCCAGCAACCAGAGAAAAGTAACTGAGATAATCCCTTAAGAAGTAGACCTCAATTTCCATCTCTTTGACTGTAGACTTCCCTTAGTAACTCTCTTTTAGTAAACAGAATACAAAAGTAGGAGAGAGCTCTTCCAATTTAAGTTATAGGAAAGCCTGTGGCTTCTGTCATCTGTGACTTTTCTTCCTTGACTCACTGGTCTATGCAGAAATCAGCTACCTCATCATCAAGGAGCCTTGAAGAGAGGATGACACCATGGCATAAGATAAAGAGACAGCCTGTGGAAAGGCCCACATGGCGAGTAAGTGGCCAGAGGCCTGTCAGTTTCCATGTAAGTAAGCTTCAAATTAATATTCTGAAGCTTCCCCAGTCCTTGCTGAATTTGGAAGCACATGCTCCTCTAAATGTATCCTGAAGTATTCTGCCCTAGTCTGTGGTTTTACTGCAACCTCAGGCACTAAATCCAAACCATCCAGCTCAGCTGTTTCCATATTTTTGACTCATAAAAACTATAAAATAATAAATGTAATTTCAAGCTGCCTAATTGTGAATAATTTGTAGTTTTGCTAGTTTCTGTCAAGCCTTCCAGAGAGGCCTCACCTCAATTCAAACTTCCATAGTTCCATCATATTTATTTATTGCTATGTGCTTATAGCAGTGTAACCACTAAAGGGAAGCCTACACTCTTCCTAGGTGAAAAGCTGTCTTAGTCTTTGTTGTATGGTTATATCAAAGTACTGACTGAGCCTGGACACTTTATTTAAAACAGAGGTTTACCTGACTCATAACTGGTGGTTAGAAGGCCTGAACATCTCAGCAACAGTGTGTGGCAGTAACACAACATTTTTCTTCCAGCAGAGAAGCTGGAAGGAAAGTATCCACATTCAGAAGGGTTAAGATTAAGCACCTGTGCTCACTTTAAGGACCCATTTTTGTGAAAGCCATTTGTTACCCTCTGCTTTGCCTCCACCAAACTTTAGTCAGGCTACTCCTATACTCCCAACAGAACTCTAAACTTGAGCTCACCTCCAAGTGGAAACAGTCTGTCATGGTTTTTCTCTACATGTCCTCCCAGAGCTTCAGGCAGTCAAAGAGCGGGCTTCCTGGAGTTTATCATTAATTCATGGTCTCATGCTGGGATTATGGGTGTGAGTGCTACACCCGCCCTGGGGCAGATAGACTGAATGCAATAACAGGAAGGGAGAGAGGCTTGCTTTCTGCAACTCCTTCCTTTTTTGATCTTGTTGCTTTTGCTGTCTTCTGTCACCATGAATTGTTGCCCTCTGCCACGTGCCACTCTGCCTTGAAGCCAGCCAAGTATGGACTGCAACTTCCAAAAACTGTAACCTAAATAAACCTTTCCTTCCTTAATTCTTAATATTTTGTCCCAGCAAGGAGAGAAAAGTAATCAAAATACGGTATAACTACTGCTACATTCCCATCGCAGCAACCATCTTTCTGAAGAAAGCCTCCTTCACTAAATCCAGACATTTTTAGACATAAGAAATAGAATTGCTAAATGTAAAATTCGCTGCTTATTTAACTATATGCCCAAAATCACAGCCTATGTGAAAAACCCTGTGTCCACTTACACACACAAAATATCAGCTTAACGTGCGTTTTAGAAAAAAAAAAGTATGAGGTGTCAAATTTCAGGTAACAGTTTTAGTACTCATTTTCTATAGCATTTTTTTTTAAGTTTTTCTTTTAAATCTTGGGGGTTAAAAAACATTCCTTAAACTCTTTCTCAGTCTTTCTTCTCGCGCCCTCGCCCACGCTGCAGTCGCGTCTCTGCGCCTGGGTTCAGTCCCCCCGCTCCCGCCGCCCCCTCCGCTCCCGCCTCGGGTGCCCCTCCACTTCCGGTTCCCCTGCGCGCCTCCAGGTCCTGCCCTCCTCCGCTCTCGCCGTGCAGCTCCCTTCCTCAGTTTCCTCTCCTGCTCCCTTCCGTCTGCCCCTACGCGTACTGGTGCCGTTCCAGTTCCCCCTACAGTTCGTTTTGGTTGTTATTCGCACAGTGACAGAGCCTTACCGTTACGCATCCCTTCCGACCCCTGACTTCAGCCCCGCAGTGAACTCTCCCCAGGCCGGACTGCACTCTGACAAGCTTGTGCGGACGCGCTGACAGAAATATTTCACCATTCCCAGTGACTGCTTTTTCACCACAGCGTTCTTTCCGTAAACAACGGTACCACTCCAACTGTTTCCCCACCTACGCCCCTGAAAAACTTCTTAAACGTTCGCGGCTTACAGACCGACACCGTAGTCCTGTCTCTCCTTTAGCCTCCCCTACTCCGACTGCGCTAGTCCTCCCCTTGTACGGCACCGACCGATCTCAAGATGGCGTCTCCCTTGTGGAAAGTTTCAAGGGAGCGGCCATATTGGTTCCTGAACAAAGCGCCCTGTACGGAAGAGCACAGGTTCCAGCCCAGCGCGACGCTCCCGCACAGGAAGCGGGAGCGGGCTCACTGTGTGGATGTGACAGCTGTCATCTTTAATCTGCGATGGGCGTCTCAGGGCCTCGTAATCAAACTGGTGGTCAAAAGAGGTATCTGTGCAGCGATGAGTGACCCGCTGGGCTTGGTACTGGGAGGTGGGGGATGAGAGGGGATCTATGATGGGAGATTTATGGTCACAAGTAGAGGATGTGGAATTAGTATTGGGCTTATTTGGGAGTCAGGGGTGAAGTGAGCTATTTGATTAACAGTTATGGAATGAAGAGGTGATGAGGTGATTGTGGAATCGGGCGTGGTGTGTTGCGGGTGAACTGTTAAGGGTAACTGCTTTAGGCTGCTGTGAAGTACCAGTGACTTGTGGAAGGGCAATATGGGCTAAATGATGAGGGCATCTCCTACGGGTTGCATGACCTCCAGGCCCAAAGGTTCCAGTATTTGGAAGTGCACTTCTATGGGCAGACTGTCATGTAATCACCACCAATCTTCTAAAGAAGGCTTTAACTTATATTAAGTTTCACAAGTCACAGCAACTCCTGAGTACTTAAAAGTTCAAGTCCCTCTTTGTATATTTCCTCAGAATGCCATTGTCTTATTGGCCTAGTGCCCACCTCAACAATGATCATTTTAAACAAGACCAAAAAAATTAAAGGAAATATGATTATTGTGAAAAATTTATTTCAGTCCTCTTCTTTCAGTGAAATAGTTTTGGGGTTTTTTGGTATTTTTGTTTTGTTTTGTTACACCAGAAATACTTATTTAGCATCTACTGGGAGTGTGGATATTCACATAACTTTCTCTTACATATTTATTTTGATATGGCCTGAAATATCCCATATAAAATGTTAATCATTACTCTTCCTGTCACAAGAGCCCCCACTTCTTCTGAGCCAATTCAATGTTCTCAGGACTCCTCCTGGAAATGAGAAATATTGATCAGGTTTGTACCTTCCTATATAATAGTATATTCCCTTTTGTGAATGATTCCAACTTATCATTTTAAAATGATAAATTATTTCACTGAAACTGCATTACTGAAAATCCGCAATAAAAATTTAAACAAAAAACCTTAAAATTAACATTTTAATCAGTAAATATTGATTTGACAGAAGTTTGTTAAGTTATAGGAAAATATGAGATCACTTGAGATTGGAATTTGAGCTGCTGGTTCTTTCTGGGGAGTATGGGAATACATTCCTATTACTACCACAGAATGCCTTCTGCAATTAAATCTTTATGTACTTTATGTACTTATCCATGATTATTGTCTTGTGTTTTGTTCAAAAATAAAATTGCTAGTTCCCAGCAATAAGTCATTAGTAAATTAACTGGAAATTTATCTGTACATCAATTTAAAAAGTCTTCCATTTCCATAAGTTCAACAGCCATGTTATAAGCACGAACAGAGGAAAATGTCATGATTAGTACCTTTTCAACATGTGGTGCTTCCTGATGTTTCTGTAAAGCTCAAACAACTTTTTCCCTCCCACTGATCATTATCTACTTGATTTCTAATAGTCATTGTTTCAAGAATGTGGAAGTTGTGAATGGGTTTGGGCTGTGAAAATTTGATTGGGATCATCAGTTTTGCTTTTTCAGGCATCTGCCCTTTCGGAAGAGTACAGAAAATGAAGTCCCAGGTGAGTTCCTTTTTTAAAATTAACTTCCTTTGTTTTTCATACAGTCAAATATAAACTACAAGTAGGTAAAATTTGCATTCTGGGGAAAGTAGCAAGAGTAAAAATCAAGACTTAGAAACAGAGTTGCTCAACAATATGTAGAAAATCTGGTTTGAACCATGTTTATAAATTGTTGTGTCAATTTTCATTTCATTTCTTACAGACATTAATGGCTATTTCCTTAAACCCAGAGAGATAAATTTCCCATGGGAAGAAAATATTTCTTAACATGTAAGAATAAAAGGAAAAATTCCTTTTTCGATTTCTTGGCAAGTCGTAGAGTATATAGGTTCTCACCAAACATTAATGAAACATTAGTTGTCTCATAACTGTTTCTTAAAGTTATCTTTTTTCTTAGAAAGTGTCAATATCTTAGTCAAAGTTTTGGGATCAAGAATTGGCACAATATTACCAAATCTACTTCTCCCATTGTCTTTGCAATGATTTATTGAGGCACAGTTATACTATTTGTATAAATATTGTCAGTAGCTGTTGTTGACTTACAATGGCAGAGTGAAGCATTACACCAGAACCATATGGTTTTGCAATGCCAGAAATATATATTTTGTCTAAAAATTTTGTTGATCCATACCTTAAAGGAACAAACTAATTATAAAGGCTTCCTACAGTCTACTTTCACCCAAAGATAAAAAATATAGATATTTTAGATAGATACAGTCTAAATACTGCTCCAAAATACATTTTTTTCTCCGTAAAAGCAGACATTGAATTATATTTATCCAGTTAAGGTTAGGAGGGCAGTGTTCCCTGATGTTCCATCCTTTACTGTGCTTTCAGAATTCATAGGCTGACTTTCTAAATTTATTTTCTCTCTAGTTATCCTTTTTTTAAAATCTGTATTAATTTTATTTTCTCTGTGTCAGCATTCATTGTATGCTTGGTATAAACTTTGAAACTATACAAGAAAATTTAAGAATAAATATCTTTTAACTTGAACTTTTCTTCTGAGATGAATAATTTTATTTATTTGAACATTCTAAATCTTTTTTGGTATAACTGTAATTAAGTATATACATTATAAAAGCACAAGTAGGAAATGTATTTTTTCTTCTGCTTTTCTTTTGGAAAAAATATTATAATAAATATTTTGTTCTGCAACCTGGTTTTTTAACTTTCCAGTATAAAAGTTTTGGTATATATTTTATCTTCCCATGTAATACATAGAATTCTCCTTTGTTATTTTAGCAGATGTATGGTATTTCCTTATAGCTTTGTTGCCTGGGATTGATTCCTCATATGTAAAAACAGAGACTATCCTCTACCCAAGATTATTGTGAAAATTTACGGAATAAAACAGCATGGCTAAAACTAACTAGGGTGTGGCTTTTACTGTATGTGTTAGCTCTTATTACATCATCATTCTCAATTCCTGAAATATGCTTTCATATTAGTCCTTTTGTATACTTTACAGAATTTAACAACAATTCTGTTGAGAACAGATGAGTTTGTTTTTCTTCTTGGCTCTCAGTATCTTTACAGCTATGTTCTCCAATACTGTGGCCACAAGGAATATGTAGTTATTTAGCCCTTAAAGTTGGACGGAATTAAAATGTGTTTTAAGTGTGATGTTTGAAATTTCAAAATATGGTTTTAAAAACTCATTAATGGTTTATAAAGATTACATATTGGAGGGCTAGCCAAATAGCTCAGCAGATTAAAGCACCTGCTTAGGCAGATGCAGTGGCCAGGGTTCAGTCCCCAGTGTGCCATGCTGGCCCCAACCCCGGAGCGCACTGAGACAATGATTGAGACTGAGTGTGGTGGTGCATGCCTGTAATCCCAGCTCTTGGGAGGCTGAACACAGGCAGATCATTACAAGTCTGATCTACGTAGTGAGACTCTGTAGACCCTGTACTAAAATACAGAAAGAAAGAAAGAAAGAAAGAAAGAAAGAAAGAAAGAAAGTCAGATAGACAGACAGAAAGAAAATATATTGAAATATTTTGAGTGACATATTAGGAAATAATTGAAATAATTATTGGAAATAATTTTTTGACATAGCTCCTAGAAAATTTTAAATGATCTTTCCCCTAACATTCTAGTTCTATTAGATAGTATCTTTGTTATTTTTTCACTCCTCAGGCAAAATACCCAGCACCCAAAGCTAAAGAAAGAAAAATTTATTTTGACTCATAATTTATAGAGGTTTCAGTAGAAAGGCATCACAGACGATAAACAATTCATGGTAAGCAGAACATAGCAGAAGCAGCTGAGCAGCAAGTCCAAGTGACCAGTGACAAGCAACTATAAGCAAGGCTCTTTGTGTCCTTGATCTTGTATCCAGGTGGATACAAGATATTCACACTCAGGATGGATTGTATTCACCTTCTTAATCCTAGCATTGCACCATAAAGCAATCCCAGCATCACACAGTAGACCCGGCCACCTCTCAAAAAGCCCCACTTTTTTTTCTGCAAAGCTTTATTCCAGAGGGGTTCAGTCCTTGGCAGCTGCCTTTTTCATGGCAGCCAGCACGTTGCTCAGCTCTCACGCTTCCTCTTGTCAAAGGTGTGCATCCCCACCCTTTTTTTTGATGAACTTGAGGCTGCTTTTGTCCTTGGAGACCTTGAGCAGCTCCATGGTGCACCGCTCACTCGTAGGAGGCAAATCTGCACACCTCCTAGATCATGTCTCACATGAACTTGGTGTTTGATGAGACATCCGTGACTGTGGCTATGCCTTAGTTTGCTCACATTCTTAGTCACCTTGTGGCCCTTGCTGAGGCCCATAGCCATGGGCTAGGGTAGGGCCATGGCTGCTGTGCTTCAGTGGTTGCTGTGGTAGAAGCAAGCCCCACTTCTGACTGCATGAGACTTAGCTAAATACAAGCCACAACAGCACTTCTTTAAAGAGTAAAAATGGTTTTTTCGTGTTGTGGTTTGGGGATTAGGAAGCTGAACAATACAATACAGAACACATATTTTAAGATTATTTTATAATGAATTGCCACAGAATCGTATACAAAGAGTGCAGGATATCTCTCCACAGACTAAAGACCAAAGAATCCACCTGAGGGCCTGGATCCTAATATCATGCATAAGTCCAGCTGAACACATAGATACTATAAGAGTGCCTCTCATAAGGCCAGTTTGAGGCCTGGAGCACACAATAAATTCTCATGCAGGCCTGTTCCACAGATCTGTGCTGGAAAGGCCCAAAGGCCCATGGTGGAAGCTAGATAATTTGTGCCAGGAGGATAAAGGATCTGTGATGCAGGCTGAAAGATTTGAACTGGATCCAGAAAGCAATGCTCAAGGTAAGAAGCAGAGCTCCCCTGAAAAGTACTGTAGCTATCCTCAGCCACAGTGAGGTGCTGGAGCTCCAGTGATAAAGAAAGCTGAGTTCATCAGGAAAGCCAACGTGACAAGTTTCCCCAGAAGGCTGAGCTGTGTACCCTCTTCCCCTCTGGAGCCAATCTTCCTAAAAGAACTGTAGCAGTTCTCAGCAACAATGAGGTCCCAAGCTCCTCCTACAATGAGAACAGCCAGGGTCATCAGGAAGGCCAGCATGACAAGCTTCTCCAGCAGAACAGCCCAGAACAACAGTTTCCAAAACCTCTGATAGCTTCTTCAAACAGCTTCCCCAACAGCCTCCCAACTGCTTTTCCAGTTTTGCTTCTTAGGCTGCAAGCAACAGTCCTCAGGTGGGCCTCCCACACCCAGCACCACGCTAGTTCAGTTCAGCTAGGTAGAATTAGTTGACTACAGTTGACAGTCCACTACAGTTTGTTTGCCAGTTTACCCAATAGGCCCAGTCGCTATAGCTAATTAGCTGATTAAATGTTTACTCTTTAAGAGGAGGACTTTATATTTTTCCTATAGCATGCAGAGGTAAAGTCATCCTTTTTCACATAAACTTTTTTCTCGTCTAACACCTACCCCTCTTCAATTTCTTTCCTCTTCAAATGGCATTTCCATTCCCCAAGCCTCCTATGCTATAAAGAAATGTTTGTAAATAACCACCTTCCACTGATTATGCATATTTTTCTTAAAATTAACAAAATGTATGCCTGCTTAATATAGAAAAGCATCTAAGTATCATTAATAAAGCAAATATTAAAATAACAGATAAATTTTCCATCAGAATGTGTTTCCTCTATAATGCACATTTATTATCTTTCTCATATTACTCTTCAACTCAAAGGAATGTAATTGGCTAACTTAAACTATTTTTAGTGAGGTTAAAACAGAAGTAGTCACTTACTTTAATTTCTGTAATCTTCACTTTTAGCAAACATTTCTTAAGTATCAAAATTATGTTGTATGTATCCTTTCTCTGTCTCAAGTTTTCTTTTCTGAGAATACTGATGAGAAAAGTAAGGTAGAGAATTATGAAATACAAAAAGCTCTCTTATAACAGAGGAGCGATGTGCTGTCATAATAGAGAGGGGGAGCACCCAGCTTTGTAAGTTCAGTAATCAAACTTTGATTTGGGCTGAATATCACAGGCTGGCCTTGAACTGATGGTGATCCCATTCAACCGCCCAAGCAGTGATGACAGCCCTTGGGCTGAATACTAACAACCCTGATGAATTAAAATGCAGTTCATTAAAAACAAAACTTTGAATCATAAAGGAAGTGCAATCAAGATGGAAAGAGCGTTTGTAGAAGTAGATGCAGGGTGACTTTAGGAAGGCTAACAGTTTGAGAAAAACTGAAGTGGGGATTGCTTCATGGAAAGCTTGACAAAGGGTGTGGTACTAAAGTGAAATATTAGAGATCATGTTTATGATGTGTGCAGTACAGGCTGGTAGAAGTCCATAGTGTATGAAAAGCTACAACACATTGTTGTGGCCAGGAAGCAGAAAGAAGAAACCAGGGGTGGGGGCACACCCTTCCAGGTCCCTCTCCTAATGATCTACTTCAAACCAGGCCCAACATTAGCTCTTAACTCATCAGTGAACTAATCCATGATCCAGTTACTTTCTAAACACATGAGACTTTGGGGGGAATACCCCAGATCTAAACCGTAATACCTTACAGTTTATTAAATTGCCATGTACACTAGGTAGATCTACTCCTTTCATTTTCCTGATCTGTCTAACTCTTTTTGCTTAAGGAAGGATATTACATTGTTTCTCAAAAACTCCATAATGCAAAACTAAGTGTGTATATTTTGGGTACTGTTATGGCTTCTGTCTAGATGCCCCCAAAAAACTTCATTCAGTCATAGGTGGGGCTTTTTCAGAAGTGGCTGGATCTAGATTATGTGATATTAGGATTGATTCATGATATTAATTCTAGACTTCAGTGGCAGTAGGATTAAGGGTATGACTGTTACCTGGCCTAAGAGCAGATAGCCTGGATAAGATACAAGAGACAGAAAAATCTGTGGTCATTCTTCATATACACTTAACTATTATTGTGCCACCACTCCAAAGAAACAAGATCTCTTTTGTTTAGTAGGCTAAATAAACCTTTACTTCCTTAAGTCGTAAGTGTTGGATATTTTGTCTCAACAATGAGAGAAATATGACTATTACTGGAACTATAATAGAAATGGTAGTAATGATCCCTTTAGACTGAACAGGAATGCACTCTTACAGGGGTTAGTATCATTCAAGGATGTGGCTGTGGATTTTACCCAGGAGGAGTGGCAACAATTAGACCCTGCTCAGAGGACCCTGTACAAGGATGTGATGCTGGAGAACTATAGTCACCTGGTCTCAATGGGTAAGGGTAGCTTCCCCCAAAACTTAAGAATTCTCCAGCCATGCTGGCCCACCCCCAGGGCAAGCAGAGCCAGTGATTGAGACTGGGTGTGGAGGCACACACCTGTAATCCCAGCACTTGGGAGACTGAAAACAGGAGGATCACTATGAGTCTGATCTGTGTAATGAGATCCTGTACACCCTGTACTAAATACATTTAAAAAAAAATTCTCCAGTCAAGTGCTTTTTTTTTAATCAGTTACTGTATCAGTTACTGGCATGTGGCCTATATAATTATTTTTATTATCTTCATACCACCCTAAATGGGGACTATTACTTTGTTGAAGGCTAACTGGAAAATTTCATTATACATCATCTGAAACTTCTCCTTATCTTCTTCCTTCACTACAGTTAATCCAGTTTATTCATGATTTTTGTTTAACAGCGTATCCAGTTTCCAAACCAGATATCATCTCCAAGTTGGAACAAGGAGAAGATCCATGGATCATAAAGACAGATATGGCAAGCTGCAACTACCCAGATGCAAACTACACAGGTAAAAGAAAAAGTGAAATATGTTTGTTTGATTGACTTTAGTGCATTGATGCCTAATGCTCAATGCTTATCATTATTTAAATATCCTATTCTTTATTCTTGTTATGAGAAATTAGTAAACATTCAAGACACATTCTTTATAGGCATTTAGTAAGAATTCAGGAATTATGGAAATTATGACCCTTTGGCTATTTGTGATTAGATAAATAAATAGACAATGTTTTTAATGAGATGAAAGGACTATAAAGCCAATAGAAAGCAAAAATCCATCTGTCAATAAGGCTTATACCTTAGAAGGTAAATTTTCCTGACACATGATTACACACAATAAAATATCAGATAACTATTTTAAGAATTGAAAGAGGGACCAGGGAGATAGCTCAGCAGCATAATTGCCTGCTTGGCAAGCACAAGCTCCTGAGTTTAATCTCCAGTACTGCAAATAAAGAAAAAGAATTGAAAGAATTCAGAACTTAAAAAGGTACAGCAAACATTGAGAAGATATTTTGAAAACATGTAGCTGTTCCTTATAACGTTTTTTCTTTTTTACCAATTTTGCGTATTCATATCTGGTAATCTGAGTAGCTAACTTGAAGAAATATTAAGCAATAGAACAACCATTGTCAAATTCCTATTTTTTTGTTTGGTGAAGTTCTATATTGTTTGTAATTATTTGGTATTCTCTTTAGATAATTAAAAAAAATTAAATCATGTACCTGTAGGTGCTCTGAATTATATAAGTTCTTATAATGCTGCAGGAGATAAAAGAAGGCTAAAATGTTTTGGAAAATAAAGTATATGAATAAAACTTTGGAGTTAGGAAAGCATAGCTTTTCTATATGTTGATATACATAGAAGTATTATTAGAAATGTTTACTTGATACACATAAAAAGTATTATTAGGAATAGAGAAATTTAAGTGTGTATTCTTGTTGTGAATCATTAGAAAGATCTTGAGTTTTCTGTTGTTATGCTTGTTGGGAAAAGAGACAGATCAAGTATTTTGCATATAAGGGAGATCTTGTTTGTTTGGCTTACTGGCAGAATAGTTAAGTATACATAAGAAATAGTTTATAAGGCAAAGGAATTCAGACAGTGTAAAGGGTTTTTTATTCAGAAAATAGGAAAATTGGGAAAATCTTAGAAGCATAATCCAAAATTAGAGTGATAAGAACCTGCACACTTTTTCCTCTCCTTCAAGTCTAAAGTTTACATGAATAATTTCTCTTCAGCATTCTCACATTTTAGATGTTGCTGTCTTCCAAAATGTATTGTTTGAGTTTACATGCTATCTTAGATCATCCCTTTGTTCCTATTTTTGCAATCTTCATTGTCCTTTATGCTTTCTTTATTTTATCTTTCCTTCTTTCAGACAGGAAGAATATCCATCATAATTCCCAATCATGTACTTTGGGAACTTTTTCATTTCACGATAAGGTAATAAAAGCAGTCACACAGGACAGTTCATTTTACCCCATTAGAAAAATCTATCATGGTGATGGACAGCTGAAGACCTGTCAGGAAAATCAAGATGGATTTTTCAAGCAAGTTACATTTCTCAAAACAGTGTTCGATGCATCAAGTCATAAATATAATTCATTGGAAAAAATATTTCAAGAGCATGTAGAGTCAGATATGCCAAAAGAAAGACTTCATAAATATGACTCATTTAAAAAGAATATAAAACCAAAGTCTGACCTACCTTGTTATAATACAAGTAATTCAAGAAAAAAATTAGATGACAGTTTTGGTGATACACAATCATCTAGCCACAATTTATCTAATTCTAATCTTGAGAAATTACACAGTAGAGTAATAACCTGTAAAGATAATCATTGTGAAAACATTTTCATCAGTAAACAACCCCTTATTCAGTATCAAAATGTTGAAAATAAGGAGAAAACCTGTGTCTGTATTACATGTGGAAAAGCTTTTACTAAGAAGTCACAGCTCATTGTACATCAAAGAATTCATAATGGAAAGAAGCCATATGATTGTAGTGCATGTGGAAAAGCCTTCAGTGAGAAGTTTCATCTCATTGTACATCAGAGAACTCACACTGGGGAAAAACCTTATGATTGTTCTGAATGTGGAAAAGCATTCTCTCAGAAATCATCTCTCATTATACATCAGAGAGTTCACACTGGAGAAAAACCATATGAATGTACTCAATGTGGAAAGGCCTTCTCTCAGAAATCACCCCTCATTATACACCAGAGAATTCACACAGGAGAGAAACCTTATGAATGCAGAGACTGTGGAAAGGCCTTCTCCCAGAAATCACAACTCATTATACATCATAGAGCTCATACTGGAGAGAAGCCATACCAGTGTACTGAATGTGGAAAGGCCTTTTGTGAAAAGTCTCACCTGATTATCCATAAAAGAATTCACACTGGTGAAAAACCCTATAAGTGTGCTCAATGTAAAGAAGCCTTCAGTAGAAAGACAGAACTCACAACACATCAGTTAATTCATACTGGGGAGAAACCATACGAATGTGCTGAGTGTCAGAAGACATTCTCTCGGAAGTCACAGCTCATCATACATCAAAGAACACACACTGGAGAGAAGCCTTATAAATGTAGTGAATGTGGCAAAGCCTTCTGTCAGAAATCACATCTCATTGGGCATCAGAGAATTCACACTGGAGAAAAACCGTATGTATGTACTGTATGTGGGAAAGCCTTCTCTCAGAAGTCTCACCTCCCAGGACATCAGCGGATTCATACAGGAGAGAGACCATATATATGTGTTGAATGTGGAAAAGCCTTTTCCCAAAAATCAGACTTGGTGTTACATCGGAGAATTCACACTGGGGAAAGGCCCTATCAATGTGCTGTATGTGCGAAAGCCTTCATTCAGAAGTCACAACTCACTGTGCACCAGAGAATTCATACAATGATAAAATCATAATAAACTGACCACAGGTAAGCCTTCAGTATTAGATCAGGCCTTAATAATTATTAGAAACCTATTAATTTGGTTTAAGTATGGGGATGAAATCTTTTAAAAGTAAATTTCTACAAGGGAATCAATATTTCTAGTGTTATGATGTCTGACGTTTTTAGCTAAAATGATATAAAATAATTATGTAAGTGGACTTTTTTGAGGCAGGGTCTCACTATGCAATTTAAGCAGGTCTTAAACTCACTATATAGTCCAGGCTGCCCTCAAATTTGCAGTGACCCTCCTGCATCAGCCTCCCAGTGCTGGGATTACAGGCATGTGCCACCATGCTTGGCTATAAGTGGAATTTTTGATATAATATGTAAAGGTTTTAAAGTTTTGAACTCATTGATCTGTGGAATAAAACATGTATACAGAATGCTGTCAATTTATGTACTTCTTACCACATATAATGTTACTAAAATTGCTAGTATATGCTTGGCACAAGTATAATCATACAGTTCACTATAAAGGACATAGAAGGAAGCTTAATTAGAAATTCACCTATGTCTCTTCAGCTCTTTCTAACCCTCAATTCTGTGCTCTGTTTTCATGGAAATGAGCACATTTACAGAGAAAAATTCCTGAGGTGAAATGATGCATCTCATATCCTCATATACTGGGGCATTTAATATCTCTAAAATACCTCCCACCCAACTCTTGTATTCTCATATATTCTTTTATGAGCAGCTTTAATTTAGCAATTCTGTTCATTGTAACCTGCAGGAAGATCATAACTAGCAAGGATGACAGCATCTTTGTAGTAAAAAGAGCACCTGCACATGACTCCTGCTTGGGTCCTTAATGTTTCCAGCTCATCTGAGCCCTCTCTGACTAAATAATCTATTGTTAAAATGCAAAATTCATCCCAGCAAGAAACATTATAGAGGAGAGGCACTGACAAGGCTGTGGGTATTCAGTATGAAGGATGTCAATTTTCCACCTGAGTATGATTATTAATGGAAAGGAAAAAAATTGAAATCCAAAGAAGCCAATTTAAAAAAAACAAAGCTATTTTTTAATTAAACAACAGTAACAGTACCATTAACATACAGTTAGCCAAGACTTGGGTATGAAATTTCAGTGGGTTTTTGGGTGTTTTATGTGGTATTAGACATACAGTTAAGCACCCTGCTGTTGGTTATCAAATGACAGATACTAAATTTTCATCAGTAAACACTGTTTAATGCTCTGTTCATCATTCATTATAATGTTATCTTACTGCTTTCTATAATGTATCAAACACATCATTATATTCCTCAGCATTCTTCAGTGAAGTTAGATCAGTTTAGTTCCCTACAATATTCATTGTATCTCATACTATAATCCCAATAAACTTTAAAAACATCTTACAGTTAGTTTTAGAATTATATACAGAAAAGTTCCAAGGAAAGAATAATGAAGAATCTTTTGAAAAACAAATTTAGAAAATTTACAAGATTAAGATTTCCTGAAGACTAGTCCCTTAAATAATTCAAACACTATAGGTAGTCAAATAGATGAAGGGTAAAAGTAAATCCAAAAGCACCAATATTTGAAATATGGCAAAGATGTCAGTCTAAAGCAGTGAGATGAAAACAAGTCAGTTATCTGGGTGAAATAGTAAAATCTTAACAGCACATACTGGCTGGAGAGATGGCCCAGTGGAATAAGTGCTTGCCTGGCAAGCTCAGGGACCTGAGTTCAATCCCCAGTTCTGCAAAAATAAATAGATGAATAAACAGCACATACTTTTCATAAAGTCAGTTCCAGATGAAAGATTCCCAGGTATTTTTTTTCATAGTATCACATCTCTGTCTCCAAACAACCCGACTAAAAAGGCACCACAGAAGTAAGAGAAAACAAATGCTTTCTTACTCCATACACTCTTTAAAGATACCTCCCTTCTTTTTTGCTAGGAATTAACTCAAATTCATATCTCTGGAACAGTCTAACTCATGAAATTGGACATTTTTGCCAAGCTTGCTAGTCATATAGTTCAAGGTTATCATCATCTTACATCTTTATACTTCAGGAGTACTGATGAACACTAAAAATGAGCTGTGTTAAGTTTGAAGACAGTTCTAAACCAGAGAGAAATGTTGGAAGGAAATCTACCTCAAAAGTTGGCTGGCAAATGAATGATTTCAACCTTTCCTTCTCTCTCTCCCACTTCTTTTTCTTTCCTCTCTCTTCTACTTCTCCATCTCACCCTGATCAGTGTGACAATTTGGACTATAAAGTTTAAAAATTTCATAAAGTCAGACATGGGTAGCTATATTATGTCAGGATCTACTGTAGGCAGAGAGCACGTTCTGTGAATAGCCTCTAGGCTGAGTATTAGCAAGCATATCTGGAATAACTGGTGGTAGAAAGTAAGCCAGTGCTCAGGCCATTCCCTGTTAGATAAATATTTTGAATGTCACCCACAGATTTGTGGGTAAGTGAGCAATATGCATAGAGGAAAGCTCAAATGAGGCAGTAAGTAAGAGGGGCTAACCAGTCTCCAAAATACAGAAGAGAACCAGCCTCCAAAATATAGAAAATAACCCTCGTTCTTGATCATTCCTCCATTTTCCTTCTGCCAAAGACCTACATGTGTAGTAGACATACTGTTTGACTTCTTACTAATATCCACCCTCTCCTTGAGCTGCATAAGGAACACTGTCCTACCTCCTTGAAGGAACATCAATAGAAAATTAATGAAACTAAAAATAACTAACTTCTTCAGAATTTCTCAAGTACCTACACTTACATTTTCCATACATTTTACTCAGTCTTATGTAAAGTGAATAATTGTAAAATGATGAGTCTTAGAGATAGAGGCAATGTCTTGTGCACTGGTGGGGAAGCCTCAGGACCTCAACACATTTCCAGAACACTTTGTCCCCAAGCCCTGCCATCATGTACTAGCCCTCAGTAAAGAATTTCATACTCTCCTCACAAATCCGTCATGAAAAATATCTCATCGTTCTACCTTTCATTTAACAAGTTATGTTTGGCTCTCACTTTTCTGCTCCTGGAGGTCAAATGTGATGCATGTGTATTTCATTTTTGTCTTGACAAATATTGTTTTCACCCTAACAAGAAAATGTTATCTGGCAAAAACCCTAGAAATTTAACTCATTGTACCTCAATAAGGCTCACAGTGATAGCAAGTGATATAGGGACACTTGCTGTGAAGGAAATCTGAATGGGGCTTTCTGGATCACTAGGTACCTCAGAGACTTTCATAGTGTGGCTCCCATAGCTCTGAAATTAATATGCAAAGAGGGGCTATCCAAAGCAAACATAATTCCTTGTGTATAAGACAGATTCACACCTATTTGCTTCACCACAATCACAGTGTCTAGAACAGAGAGCCCCAAACTAGTAGAGTATAGGATAGCGTTGGAATTTAAGTCAGAGACTCTCATTTTCTTTACAATCTCCTTGTCTAGAAAGGAAAGTGAAATCAGATCTGTTTTCTTCCCTTTCCAATGTTTTCTTCCATGATTCAGAATGTAAAATGCCCTCTGAACTAATCAGATCAACCTTCACAGATGACTCAGTAATCCAGTGGAGGACAGGAAGCAAATTGGATAGGAAAAAGGTTCTCAGTAACTGAGAGGTAAAGATCCTTTGTTATGGATATGCCTTCAGTAACTACTCTTGACATCTGGGATACAAGGACATGGCTCTGGCATCAATGCAAAGCCAGTTGTTTGGATCCTTCTCACTCCAGTGCTAGCCAGGCAGAGCCCTCTTATCCACCTATAAACTTATTTACTAAGAAATGGCTTGCTAGTGAATAGCAGGGGACACAGTAAGCAAGAGTTGAGAAAAATTCTTCCAAACATTGACATCAACTTGACTCTAATTACCATCCATTACATCAGTGCTGCCCAGAGAAACTAGATACTCATGACAGCTGGCCGAAATATTTCTATGCAGGCTCACTGGCTCTCTGCCAATGTTCAGGGTACCTGTCCTTCTCCTGGACAACTTAGTTATATTAGTAAACAATGTGAAGATCCTTGTCAATCATAATTTTCCCTTCCTCCATCTCAATCCCATCTTAAAATGAGAAATCAGCTATAAAAACATGAAGAATCCACTTTTGGACTTTTCTTCCTTTTACCTGTTCTTCTTTGACTTTCTCCTACTTGGGAAAATATAAAGAGATTATGTATGTGGAATGAGTCAGAGGTACAAATGTAGGGAGTTTGAGGATCAAATGCAAGAAAAATCTCGCTCATATGCTACTTAGAAATCTAACCTCAGTAGTTTCTGCATTAGGGAAGTATGTAATGCTGCCAGTATCTGCCATGAGGAACTTTGGGAACTTATTCTGATGACCCCACTGCAATAGACAAGCCCCTGGGGCTGGAGAGATGGCTCAGTGGAATAAGCGCTTCCCTGGCAAGCACAAGAGCCTGAGTTCAATCCCCAGTTCCGCCAAAAAAAAAAAAAGGGACAAGCCCCAGTCCAAAGTCCTCTTATTGCTTCCTGAGTGTCTGCAACAGGTGATCAAACTGCATCTCCTTTTAGAGTTCACCTTATTCCCAGAGATCTATGTAGTCTTGTTTCCTCTTCTCTCATTGCTGGGACAAATACTCAACACTCAAATGAAGGAAGGAAAGGTTTATTTAGCTCACAGTTACTGGATATTTAAATCCATACTCAGCTGGCTCCAAGATAGACTGGCACCTGGCAGAGGGCAGCAGTTAATGGTGGTGGAAGGCAGCAAAATAGCAAGACAAAAAGGGAGGAGTAGCAACAACATAGGCAACAGAAAGCAAGTCTGTCTCTCTGTCTATCTTATGTTGTATTCAGGCTCTCAGCCCCAGGCTGGGTGTAGCACTCATACCCATAATCCCAGCAATATTCAGACCCATAATCCCAGCCTTGGATCATGAATTAATCACAAAATGTAGAACTGTGCCTCAATGACTGCAAGAACTTGGGGGCACAGATACACACAAACCATAACATATGTCCTGATCTCTGGGTTTTTTCCCATAGCCTCCCAACAGCAAGGTAGCTATCCAATCCTATGATGCACTCACCTTCTGTTATATACAGGTGTCCCTCCAAAGTCTCCTGCAGTCATAGGTGGATGTCTTGAAGGTGGTTGAATTAGAATGTGTGAATGTAGATATGTGCATGATGCTGGGATTAAGGGTGCT